CCTGGAAGCAAGTCTTAGAGGATACCAAGGGATGACTATATATATATATATATACTTGAAGTTGACGGGAGGTATTCAAAGCAGAGCAAAATATCTCTTATAATGCTGGCTAGACCACTATGCACACAGTCAAGTGCAGTTAACTTATACTTAATATGTTGGTCCAGTGTCCATAATTCTATGCTAAATGCATCCATAGTTACATGCTAAATGTGATTTTTTTGGGGGGTGGGGGCGAATTTGTATTATTTTACTTTTGCTAAACAATCCATAATTTTGTGTGATGAAATTATGAAAAATACGATGGCATGTATAAAGTTTTATATATTAAAAAATAAAACCGTGACCAAAAATGTATCTAATTTGCATTTGTTTCCAATTAAGTTCTTCTCCATAAATTTAAATTATATTAAAAAACTTCTTCATTGTTTGGAAAATACAAAGCTATAAATCAAAGGGAGTTTTACTTTTTCTACAGATAAGAGTGAAATACATTGGCATTGATGTCCCTTATCTCTAACTGTGGAGCCAGCAACACCTATCTATGACCTGCTGGAGAAGTAGGCATGTTCACCTGTCCAGATTTGTCACAGTCTTACTGTTATCTGTTTAATTTCTAAACTGGTCCAACATAAGTATAAGAAGGTTGGGTAAATAAGTAGAGTGAAACTGAAAAGCATGTCAATCTTATAATTTCAAGACAAAAATTCCACTTGAAGCAATTAAGCATTGAAGGAGAATTAGTTTAATGGCTTGATTTATTAAATACCTATAACACATTTCCAAGTATCCAGTTGGGCTTCACAGACAGTTGTTTAAAATAGAGTTGTTTGTTTGTTTGTTTCCTTGTGCTCAGTCCAATTTTATTGGGCTTCAGAATATGTTTGCTATTTGGATCAGAAATTTATGTGTTTTTTTAATATTTTATCTCTGATACATGTTCCCTAGTCAAAAAATTTTACTGTTTCATCTAACATTCATATGACAGCCTGAACACTTAAAATGCCCTTATATATTGTTGTATTTATCAATATTCCTTACCTATTCATTTGAATTTTATATTAAGATACATTTAAAGTTAAATTTTAAGTTGAATAGTTTAAGTTGCAAAATAATGGATTCATTTTCATTGAACAGATGGCTGCAAATTAATTTGCAAAGGCATACGATTGCTTACAAAGAACCACAGGAAAAAAGATGAAAATGTGAAGACAGTTTAATGCAATTTTTAAAGGAGAAACGTAAGACTATTTTGTACTCCCAATTTCCAAAGAGCTGTGCCTCAGCTGATTTTCTTTTCTAAGAGCTGTTCTTATCAAGGTTTGGCATTTTCTAATTTCAGTAATTCTTCAAGTCTATTTTTCCAGGTTTGGAATCCACATCTGCTTCACCATGTAAACTATATGTTCCTAAAATTTCAGCATGGTGGAGCAAAAAATTGACCAGAAAAATACTTAAATGACACAAAACACTGCCCATTGCATATTCTGAGGCGCAGACATGAGACCAGTGTGTCTTTTGCTAAAAAAAAGAGAGAGAGAGACAGCGCACCATGCCAAATAAATAAATATGATAATATACACAAAGAAACCAACTAAAATGAGCCTGTAAAACATTTCCTCTAAAAAGATTAAAATGGGTAAGATGCATCAGACCCCTATCTCTGCTTGCCTTCCTATGGGTTGTTCCAGAAACTCTTCATGAAGAATGCTCTGGGTCTTGGCACTTCTGAGAGCTCCAGGCTAAGGAACTGCCATCCACACCTTTAGGGCCTGCATCCTACTCAGCACTCAGGGTTCAGGAGCATCCTGCAGACAGCAGGGCAGACAGAAAGCTCCCGTGAATCCAGCAGCACGCATCTATTATGACCCTTGCTCCTGGCGCTAGTTTCTGCACTTTCTCCAGCTTCTGAAGCTGGAAAGGAAGGAGAATCCAGCCATGAGGAAACGGCAGAAGAGTATTTCCTCCCTGAACTGCACTACCTGGTTTGAACGTCGGAAACCGGGCTCCTGCTCAGAAGTAGGTGCAGCAGACAGGTCAGGCCCAAGGGCAAGGAAAAGGTTAGAACCAAGAGAGGAAAAGAGCTCCCTCTGAACGGGCCACTGTAAGAAGACGACACAGCGACACGCACCAGGTGAAAGACTCTCTGACTAGTCTCCTGAGATTAACACATGGCCCATAAATGTTTGTTCATCATGAAAGAGAATGCCGATTTAATTGGCTCCTCTTAGGGGATGTACCAAGCAACCTTTGAAAGAAGAAGGTACCAGCTACACACTGATTTGGTTCATCTGGCAAACCAGAGTCTCAAGCCACTTGCGTCTATTTTGTATTGCAAAGAACTAAGAAGATTTTTACATTTTTAAATGGTTGCGTAGAAAAGCACAAAAAAGAACATGTGAAAGAGACCATACATTGACTACAAAGCTAAAAGCCAGATATTTATCGTCTTGCCCTTTACAGAAAAGTCTGCCAATCCTTGACCTAAGCATCTTATTTGGTCAACCATAAATCTCCTTTTCTGCCTGTATCCTCATGGGATGCTATGTACGCTACATTACACTGCTAATTTTACAAATTAGTTTAAAATGAATCAAACTAATGAACTGTGCAGTTCCTTTGGCCACATACAGTTATACACAGGATGGACTTTGGGGACATATGCCCAGAAGAACTGACTCAATCTCCCACAAGTATTTCGTGTTTACTCTGTGCAATGGAGTCAAAATGTAATGTTTTCTTGATCCATGAAATTCTTGGTAAATATCATAAAAGCCATCCCTGTTAATTATCAACACCAAAATCTCTACAGTATCTATCTTCTAAGTCTGCTGCTAAAGTGGCTCAGGAAAGATCAAACACCCGTCTGTCCAGGGGAAAATGAGAGAGGACATTCATAAAGTAGGATTCTACATACAGACATGCTGTCAACAATCTTCTCACTACTGTTTTGCCTTAAGTGATTGGTTTTCACAGAAGGCAGCACAAATGAGTTACTGAGAATACTGTTGACACACAAATGCTTTTAACACATTTTGCATACCACAGTGAGATTCAGGCTCAATGAACACTCTCCAATAGAAAGATTTGAGCCACGTTCACCATAGTTTCTTTCCATTGTTTACTGTGACTGACATTAGCTGCTGAGGATTTTATTTTTGCTTTGTTTTTTACCCTTAGCCATGTCATGAATTTAACTTGGGACTTTAATATGCTTTGGTGTTTTCTCAGTATTTCTGTGTTTTGACTTAATTCACTGGCTCTAGTAGAAAGTGAGCCTCTTAACAATTGTAGTGGTGCAATCTGCTACTTGCTCTTTCCTTAAAAGACATTAGGTGTTACTTTGCATGAACATCCATCACAAAAGTGACTTTTCATAAAGAAATCATTTTAATGGATTTTTAATAAAAAGTCATGCTTCTTCAACGTTTTCAGGTACTTGATATTATTACATAAAACAAGGCAAGCATCTCAGATGACTTGTCACCATTTTCCTTGTACTGTAAGTAAACGAGTAAGTCTCAAGTGAGTGCTCTCGACACTGCAGGAACCAACCAGTGTCCCCTCCACAGGCTAACACGCACTACAAGTCTTGTTTCAGAGTCTGTGTGCAATCAGGGACCCTGCAATTTATAAACACTGTAAACTACCTCTGGGATTGCAACCTCAGACCTGACGAAGTGCTTCGCGTCACACACCACCTGTATGCTCATGGAGTGTCCACCTCAGAGAAGGATGTGCATGCCACAAACGGGGGGCGAGTAGGAGAGCTATTCCTACAGTATAAAATACAGGAATGGGTGTTATTAGCAAAGTACGTGATATTGTTTTTGCCGCGATCTTTCTTAGGAAGTCGGTATGGTGATTAGCTTTGCAGAAAACAAACTGGGCAAGGAATCTCTGCCCAAAAGTATAGAAGACATGGCATATCTTCCTAAGGAGATGATTCAAATTGTTTCCCTGAGTACCGCTAAATAATACAACAATATCACTCTCAACAGGAGCTTCTATATCATGTGAATTCTCAATAAATGTCACAACTTGGGTGCAACTGCTAAGAAACATGTTCTTGAAGGTTCATATATTAATTTTTACTAAAGTTTAAAATTCCTAAAAACCCTTTTTTCCTGCTTTCCTCTGCCATATTGAATTCTCCAGAGGGCCAGCTATAGTAGATTGCGAAGGGCTATCTAGACCGGGCTTCCCTGGTGGCTCAGGGGGTAAAACATCTGCCTGCAATGTGGGAGACCTGGGTCTGAACCCTGGGTTGGGAAGGTCCCCTGGAGAAGGAAATGGCAACCCACTCCAGTACCCTTGCCTGGAAAATCTTGCCCGGTCTCAAAGAGTCGGACACGACTGAGCGACCTCACTTTCACTTTTCGCTTCTTGCAGCTAGACTGTAGGGAGCCGTATGATAAGGGGGAGCAAACAAGGGGGAACGAACTGAGAGTCTACTGCTGCTTAAACGGACTTTCTGCTCCCAGGCCGACTCTTCCCATGTTATCCCCACATGTGCTGACTCTTCCTGAGCTCTCTGGGAGCAGCCTCACTCATTCCACTTTATGAAGCTTTCCTGGACTCTTTTCCATAGATTTTGGACACTGTACTTAGTGGCTCAGATGGTAAAGAATGCCTGCAGTGCAGAAGACCTGGGTTCAGTCCCTGGGTCAGGAAGATCCCCTGGAGAAGGAAATGGCAACCCACTCCAGTATTCTTGCCCGGAGAGTCCCAAGGACAGAGGAGCCTGGTGGGCTGCAGTCCATGGGGTCACAAAGGGCTGTACAAGACTGAGCGACTAACAGCCATGTAAATGATGTGAAACAGTATATAAAAAATACTATATTTTACATACAGTAACATGAAAATATATATAAAGTATACACACAGAATGTGTGGGTGATATTTGTCTTTCATACACATAACATAGACGGTCTGCACTGCCTTCGGCTCCACTTGGCCCTGGGCCTGCATGGCGCACGCGTACACTCGCTGAGTTTTTCATGAGCCGGCAGTGCTTTGAACACAGTGAACACTTGAAAAGCTGCATTAGCTATCTGCAAGCCCGAACACCGGCCGCGGGGCAGCCTTACAGGAAGCCATGTGTGGCCGCGCCCGCCTGCCTCTCTTCCCCGCTGGAGCTGGGCCGTGCCCCGAGTGCCACCGAGCAGGCACCCTCTCTGCACAGGCCGTCAGAAGACGGCCGCCCGACTGCCCAGCCGTGTACCCGGGCGCGGCTGCCGGAAACGCGGGAGCAGTCTCTCCACAGGAGAGAGGGGCGGCAGAGGGGCGCCCCCCGGGATGTGTTTACCCTGACCGACGGCTCTCAGCAGCGAGAGCTGAGGCTTCTCCTCATCATCTCTTGCCTACTTCCGCGGCTGCAACGCACAGGCGCCCTGAGGGACGCGCGTCCAAGCCAGGAAACACACAACCTCCCGGAGCGGCGTAAGCAACAGGCCCTACCCACGGGGTCCGCGCTTCGGTTGCCTCCTCCGCCCACGAGGGGTGTGCGCACAAGTGTGTGCGCAGCTCACCCATTTAGCAAACACTTGGTTTTCCCCAAGGTTTTCAGAGTTCAGAGAAAGGGAGGGGGTGGGGCATAAGGACAATGTTGCTTTTGAAAAAAGCAGCGTGCTAATTTAATGAGCTAATAAGGGAATTCATAAAGCAAGACAGCCCCACCCCAACCCCTCAGAGAAGAGAAGGGACGCCTGGATCAAAAGCATCTTCACTCAAATCTTCTAGAAATCCTGGGTGTTTCTCTGGGTTCATAAGTTACTCTACTAGGATACAACAATGTCTGGAACATTAACGCATCAGTCGTTATGCCAGTTTCTTAAACCAACGCTTAGCCTCACAGCCTGTTACCCACGGTGCGCTGCAGAAATTACAGCCGTGGGCTCACAACCACTCTCCCCTCACCCGCCTCCCAGAACACACACATGGCTTAATGCAGACGCTGCTGCAGCAGAGTAAGCTCAGCCTGTAACAACTTTCAAGGCTCCTGTGGGGTTTGTTCTTTTTTTCTTTTCCAAAATGGCTTAAACCTGTTATTTTATCTTCTTGTTGAATTTCTAAAGGCAGTGCCAGAATTTTGGTCACGTACAAGATTCCAACAGCTTACGATTTTACATTTCTGTTCATATATGTGAGTCTTTAAAAATCAAAATGGCACAAATAATGGAAGCCAGTAATGCATCTTGAATCTTTTTGCTTTTGTAAAAAGCAAAATCATACATTAGTATTAGCCTGAAAGATGTGTATATCTGTATTAGTTTAAGACTAAGCAAAGAATTTCTACTAATTTCTAATCTACATAGCAAAAATAAATCAATGAGCTTAAAAAAAATAAGTAGAAATATCAAGACATTAAAAACCACCAGGCCATGAGTGAAGATTAACTTATACTGTACCTCTATAGTTTGTGTGACATCAAAATTCATTCCCAGGATACAGTTTGTGTTTCCCAGCAGAAGGAAGCAAAAGATTGAAGCTACAGAAATAGGAGTCTGGTCCTGCTATCACGTCACTTAATTATGCTAGAACATAACAGTAGGATCAGCCACTGATGAGTCCTACAATTTAATTTGGGGAAGGTCATCACCCAGGAGCATCTATAATGCCACATGGTTGAGATAAGAGAAAACACATGGATCTTTTCTGTGCCTAGAAAAGCATCATAACTGAATTAACACAGATCCAAGAGCTAGATACTAGATACTGAAAATATATTCACTTTCTGCTATACCGCCAGTGGCTTCCTAAAATTCTGCTCAGAGTTGTTGCTGTTGTTTTGTGTCTACGTGTGTGTGTGTGTTTATGCTGTGGTACATAGTTCATCTGTGGCACAATGAAAACAAACTTTGGATCCAGAAAGATGTATTTTCAGCTCTTCCCACCTATAGCCAGGGTCTTGTATAAGATGCTGATCTCTCTGAGCCTCAGTTTTCTTATACGTATCATATGAATACCAATGCTTATCTCCTAAGAATATCATGGAAAGTGACCGTGTTAGTCACTCAGTCGCATCTGAATCTTTGCAACCTCGTGGACGGCAGCCCGCCAGGCTCTGTCCATGGGATTTCCCAGGCAAGAATACTGGAGTGGGTTGCTGTTTCTCCTCCACGGGATCTTCCCAACCCAGGAACTGAATCTGGGTCTCTCGCATTGCAGGCAGATTCTCTATGATCTGAACCACCAGGGAAGCATATAATTAGGATAAAATGAAATAAGATGTGTAATGTGGTCATGTTACTAACGATGACGAGAACTGCCACTGACAGCATCCACTGCAGGTTAGTGAATTGTATATATAATACTCTTTGCAACCTCATGGACTATAGGCCACCAAGCTCCTCTCTCCATGGGATTTTTCAGGCAAGAATACTGGAGTGGGTTGCCATTTCCCCCTCCAGCAGATATTCCAGACCCAAGGATGGAACCCGAGTCTCCTGTCTCTCCTGCATTGGCAGGCAGATTCCTTACCACGGTGCCACTGTGAAGCCTGACATTAGATCCTCCAAAAGACTGTTCACTTCTGCGTCCCCTCCCCAGCACACTCCAGGCACCACTACAGGCCAGAGCTGAGACATGGCTATGAACACACTCCACCTGGGGGAGGAGGACAGTAGCTCACTGGTGACCTAACCCCCATGTGGATATCTGCGGGGTCAAAAGCTATCAGGTGCCCGTGGGACACCCTGATGTCCATCAAGAAAACAATTTTCCACCAGGAGACTTGGGAGGCTGGAAGCTCGGAAACACTGATACAGACTTAATCCAGCTGCATGAATCCTAGTGGAAAATGGGAACCCAGACCACATATTCTCAGGAGTCTCAGAGGTACACTTGGTTTAAGTTTTAATTCCACATTTGACTACTAGACATTTACAGCAAAGGCATACCAAAGCCCAGGTGCCTTTTGTGGCAGACTGAACAGTGGGCGTTTCTAGACTCCAAGTGATCAGGAAGACAACATGGTTGAATGAATAAAATAATGAATTTGCAGAAAACAGCCAAATGTTTTCAGCCAATATTTGTGTTTTGGCAGCTTGCCTTTTTCTCCTGGACTTAGAATGATGACTAGCCCATTTCACCCAGGAAGATACTATGAAATCAGAAGCGCTCTCCTCTCTCAATTCCCATCTAAATACACATATGTTTCATGACTAATTTTTCTTTACTCAGATTAAATTGAGAAAGGGGTAAGTGGCAAAGAAGGAAATAAAAAATGGATTACCTGTCTTGCCTCAAACAGACCTTTTTAAAAGGTCAAGCTCATAAAATCGTTCTTTTTATTAAAATATCTAATCACGCTGGTGAAAACAGTAAATAGTATACAAATTGCTGTGACCTTCTAGATTTGAATTCACATCATGAACAGATTACTGTCAAAAGGACACAGGCTTCTCTTCCAGCCCTACCCCTTTACTCACAAACGGTTTCTGGTAGGAGGGTAAAGGAAAAACAAGCCCCAGGATCTAAAATGACAACATCACAGCTAATAGAGGAGTATTTAATATAGTCTTGTCCAAGAACGATGACTGTGCATTCTTGAACTACTAACTCTTTTCAGAGATTTCTCTATAGTCTGATTCGTGTGCCCCTCTCCTGGCACTGATCTCATTTTATCTTGTGTCAAAGTTATTGTCATATATATTAATCTTACATTCCCTACTGGACTATAAAGACCCTGAGGACAGGGACAATAACCACACGCTGATTGGTTAAATGATGTGACCCACAGTCCAATGGGATGTAAAGAACAAACACGATATTTTATGGGCTCTCTCCCGATCACACCAAGATAGACACACATGCACGCGCGTGCGTGCACACACACACACTGAATAAGCTATATTTAACCAGCTGCAGTCTGTCTGTAAGGAATTTGAACACTGTCATCAGACTGCAGCAGAAGCGGTGGCAGCAGCCAGCTTCTTAGGTTGTGGAGTGTTTCCTTGTTGGAGTCCCCTTGTTGACTTGTTCATGCAGGTTGATTACACCCCTGGCTACTGCTCTGTCAGTAGGTTTCCCTGAAAATAAGACGCTGCAATTCACAGGCAGAAACAACTCTGCACAAATAAGCCACAAACCTACTCATCCCTTCGTGCCTAGTTATGAGTCTCTTTAAAACAGCCCTTCTGTTAGTGCTCGAAATAACCCCCAAGGACAGCAGGAGCCCCCGTTACATTTTACACCCCCACTGTTCCGTCTGGGTGTTAGATCACCTTTCAGATGTCAGGGGTCTTAAATGGCCCCTCTCTTTGTCCTTCCCAGTTCTGGGATCTATAAACTCCAGTCTGTTAAGTCACTGCTTTTAGTTAACAAGTTACGAGAAAAAGCCAGAGTGAATCAAAGACTCGAAGCTAATTTGGAGTGTGATGAGGCACTGACAAGCAAAATACAAGGGGGGAGCGCCAGCGCAGAGATGGGGAGCCTCCTTCTCCACAATAAGGGGGGGGTGCCAGAGCAGAGATGGGGAGCTTCCTTCTCCACAATAAGGGGGGAGCGCCAGCGCAGAGATGGGGAGCCTCCTTCTCCACAATAAGGGGGGGTGCCAGAGCAGAGATGGGGAGCTTCCTTCTCCACAATAAGGGGGGAGCGCCAGAGCAGAGATGGGAAGCCTCCTTCTCCACAATAAGGGGGGGGGGGTACCAGTGCAGAGATGGAGAGCCTCCTTCTCCACAATAAGGGGGGGGGTACCAGTGCAGAGATGGGAAGCCTCCTTCTCCACAATAAGGGGGGGTACCAGTGCAGAGATGGGGAGCCTCCTCCTCCACAATAAGGGGGGAATGCCAGAGCAGAGATGGGAAGCCTCCTTCTCCACAATGAGGAGGGGGTGCCAGTGCAGAGATGGGGAGCTTCCTTCTCCACAATAAGGGGGGAGCGCCAGAGCAGAGATGGGGAGCCTCCTTCTCCACAATGAGGAGGGGGTACCAGCGCAGAGATGGGGAGCTTCCTTCTCCACAATAAGGGGGGGGGTGACAGTGCAGAAATGGGGAGCTTCCTTCTGCACAATGAGGAGGGGGTACCAGAGCAGAGATGGGGAGCTTCCTTCTCCACAATAAGGGGGGGTGCCAGAGCAGAGATGGGGAGCTTCCTTCTCCACAATAACGGGGGGGGTGACAGTGCAGAAATGGGGAGCTTCCTTCTGCACAATGAGGAGGGGGTACCAGAGCAGAGATGGGGAGCTTCCTTCTCCACAATAAGGGGGGGGTGCCAGAGCAGAGATGGGGAGCTTCCTTCTCCACAATAAGGTGGGAGCGCCAGAGCAGAGATGGGGAGCTTCCTTCTCCACAATAAGGGGGGAGCGCCAGAGCAGAGATGGGGAGCTTCCTTCTCCACAATAAGGGGGGAGCGCCAGAGCAGAGATGGGGAGCTTCCTTCTCCACAATTTAAAATACAACAAAATGAAAGCCACTCCACCATATTAAGACAATTTCTCCTAGACTAGCTTGGCAGTGGATTCCCAGGCAGTGAGGAAATCCTAATGGCCTGCCAACCACTGGAGCAGGTCCTCGTTTCTAATTACACATTTTTCCATGAATTATAACTTTGTGTTTTGTCTGTTCAACCAGTGTGGAAGCCAGCTGAGAACCAC